CTCAGTCCCCAAGCCATTTCCAGGGTGAAACATCATTAGGTCCATTGGGCAGATGGGGTGATTGAGGATGAGAAAGGTAACATCACTTATTCTTCACTGCTTAGTTGGGAAGTGGCTGAGTTGGGATTTGAATCTATGTACATCTGACTCTGTAGCTTGTGGTTACTTAAACATTAGAGCATCCCACTCATCAGAGAATGAGGCACCGAAGGGAAATTTGTGGTCTGAATGTGAATTCATGAAGCAGGAGGGTGGGAGTGGGTCAGCTAGACCCTGGGCTTGGGACCAGAAGCCTCTGGGCACTGTGTCTGGCTGGGGAGCAGGATGGTAGTGAGGTATTTTGCTCTGACACAAGGCCCAGGATCACCTGCTCCAGTCTCTGCTCCGCCACTTCTGAGTCTTGTCAGTTTGGCAAGTTATGCCTTGACTTTCCCTGCTGTAAAATGGGGATAACCACATCACCCATCTCATAGGATAGTTGTAAGGATTGCATGAGTTAATATAGTAAAATGCTCAGAACAATATCTGGTAAATACCATTGTGCTTTACATTAACGTTAACCATCGTCTTCATTATCATCATCATTTCATTATCTATTGCAAACCTATGAGTGTGTGGAGCTGAGAAAACCAGTCATCTTTAATGAATTCACTCTTCCCCCTGCTGCCTGCCTCTGAGCTGGTCTCTGCTGAGTCACTTTTACTTCTTTGTCCCCACAGGTCAAATGGAGACCTTGCCCCAAGTCCCTGGCCTTCAGATCCCCGCAGAAGGAAGTTAACCCTCTGTGGCCTTGAGAATGCCAAGATTTTATATTTCAGGATTGAGTCGAGAGTTCTTGTTAATTGCCAGCACCTGGAGGGTCCTTGGAGGGTCAGCCTGGGTCCAGCTCACTTTGATAAGCTGTCCTAACATCCCAATTTCTCATTCAGTCACACACACACACACACACACACACGGTGCCTTTATTGAACACCTACTGTGTGCCAGTCATGGTATGGGGCGCAGGGGCTGTACTGTATCAAGGAAGATAGGAGACAAGGTCCCTGCCCTCATTGAAGCTCATGTGCTAGAGGGGGTGACAAATACCTGGCAAGTAAACAACAAACGAACATATAATAGCAAAGAAAATGACAATGAAAGTGAAAGCAAAGGCAAAGCAGAGAAAAGGGCTAGAGAGTGACTGGGAAGGGGCAGGGGGGTGTGGTGTATGAGAATTTTAGGCTCCAGAAAGTACCTTTCCCTTGATGCTGTGGTATGTTCTGGGATACATGGGACAGCAAGTTGAATCCCTGAGAATTTGTTGCTGACGATGCCATCATTTCTAGGGGGTTTCCTGTCAGTAATTCTGCCCCTCCTCCTATCTGTCCTCCACATTGTGGCTGGTGTGTTTTTTTTCCAGATATGATCACATCCCTCACTTGTATCCCCCTGCAGTGAGGATGAGGACCAAAATCCTTCCCTGTAGTCCATCTGACCTGCCTTTTCCAGTTCCTCCTGCCTCCAGCCTCAGCTCCAGTCACACACTCTCCCATGTGGGACTTGGCCAACCAGGCTGCCCAACTCCTACCTGCTGGGAATATCCTTCCTGCCTCAGTAACACTCATTCTTCATCTAAGCTCAAAAGTCTCTTCCTCCAGGAAGCCTTCCATAACTAGGTCAGACACCCACTTATAAACTGCCACTGACTCCCAGGACTTCTCCTACTTAGCACTTGCAATAAAAACAGCATGTAATGAATCCAATATAAATCGAAACCCCCAGTGAAATTCCAGGGTACTCCCGGTCCTGTTGGATATTGCTAGTTGGTTGGGATCCGAGAGGATTTGCTAATTTTAAAATTAGAAAATAAAAATCGCCCCCTTCCAATAAAAATGTTCAAGGGCTACCTTTGGCCTCCTAGGAACACAAATTGTTCCTGGAGACTTTGGCTTGCTTCCTAGAGGAAAAGAGAGGCATGAATTCACCTCTGACTGTTCCTGGGTGGTAAAGCAGGTCTGAAGTTTTTTCTAGGCAGCTCCCTGTCATTCACCCAGTTGGTGAACCTGATTGAACCCAGGCACACCCCTGTTTGGCACAGAAAAAAATGACTTCTTTTTTTTCCTCCGTACTTACTACCAGGATATTTTGCTAATCATCATAATAATCACTAACATCTATTGCCAATTTACTAAGCTCTTGATACCCATTAATTAATCTCACAAGGACCTTATGAGGCAAAACTATTATTATCCTCAACTCACAGAAGAGGAAATTGAGGCCTGGAGAGCTGTAACAAAGACTGCTGTGTGTCCCCCAACATCCATTCTAAAGTTTCCTTCATCTAAAGTAAAAGTAATCCAGTTTTTAGCAGAGAATTTCCCAGCCTCCTTTGTGGGTAGGTGTGGACATGGAACTGAATTATGGCTTAAGGATGTGAGGGTTCTGGAGAACTCTTCCTAAGACATGTAGATGCACTTGCTTTGTTGTTACTTCTTTGTTCCTCTTTCACCTGCTGTCTGGAAAACAGACACCATCATCTTGGGCTATGAAGTAGGGCCCTGACTGAAGGTAGATTTGGCTGGGAGAACCCTGGGTCCCTTACACGCTTGATGACCATAACCAGGCCTGGTCTGGACGTTTTCAGCAGAGTGAAAAGAACGTCTTTCTTCTTTAAACTGTTTTTGTTCTTAATTTTAAAAACTTTTTTCTTTCATTTTGGAGTGTAGCCAGTTAACAATGGTGTAATAGTTTCAGGTGGACAGCAAAGGGACTCAGTCATACATGTATCCATTCTCCCCCAAATTCCCTTCCCATCCAGGCTTCCATATAACATGGAGCAGAGTTCCCTGTGCTATACAGTAGGTCCTTGTTGGTTGTCCATTTTAAATATAGCAGAGTGTGCATGTCCATCCCAAACTCCCTAACTATCTCTTTTCCCTATCCTTCCTTCCCTGGTAACCATAAGTTAATTCTCTGTGAGTCTTAAACAATATTTATTTATTTATTGAGCTGACTTCAATGTCAAACACAGTGGCTGGCAGAGCTAGGATTTGAACCTATATCTGTGTGACTCTTAACCAACTTAATTGTAATTGTGGGGGTGTATCATATAGCTCTCTAGGACAGGTGCCGCCAGTGTGGCAGAATTGGGAACCAAATTCCAGGTCACCCCTGTAGGCCTTCTCTGCCTGGCCAGTCTGCTGTGGACTCTGGGTAAGAAGAAAGGCCTCCAGTGAGGATTTGAGGCCATGGGGAGTAGGGACTGAGGGAATTCACTCATTTATTCCACAGATGTTTACTGAGAGCACACCGTGCGTCAGCTCCATGTGAAATGCTAGAGCCTTCCAGGTCAGAGGCATGAGGGACTGCAGCGAGGCCAAAGTCCCTCCCATCCCTGTATGCTCATGGTGGCATTGCTGTCCTTTCAATCAAGAAGTGGAGTCCATTTCTCCAGCCCTCAAAGCTGAACTTGGCTGTGGGAGTGGCTTTGGCCTGTTGGATGCTTAGTAAATATGATACAAGCAAAGGCTTGAAAAGCGTTTGGAGTTTGTTGCTGTTAGCTGCTGGGAACCCTGCAGTTGCCACTGTGGGGTGGGGCCAGGCTAGCCTGCTGGATGACAAGGAATGCATGGTCATCAAGTCAACTGCTGGACCTATGAATCTTGGGGACCACTGGGTCTTCCAGTCCCAATTGGGCCAGCTGTAGTTCTCCGGCCAGGGCTGGCCATGTGTCCACACCTATGCCAGCTGTTGGCAAAGAGAAATAAGATCAACACATTTGGCTTTGACTAATCATGATTGGTCCCCTGAGGTTGGACACATTGCCACCCAAACAAAATTGAGTTTCCTCTAGTGAGCAAGTTGGAGGGGAGTGGGTACTGGGGACAGTTCCCGCAACACTGGGGACATGACATAAGTAGAGTTTCTGTGACCGAAATGTGCAAAATCTGTTCAAGAAAGCAGTAAGCAAACCAGTGTGGTCAGAGGGGAGGAGGTGTCTGAGAAGCATTGCCCAGAGTTGCTGTCATGGGTGTTCCATGAAGATTAGAAAAGGGTTCTTTGGTCGAGTCAGCTTGACAGAGGTCGAGTTGCACAATGTCCCATAGTTTGTTGCTGCTGTAGGAGACACCCAGGGAGCCTTGAGAATGCCAAAATGCCCCATGAGTTTCCAGGGACAGAAGCAAGGGAGGTGGACTCTGTGTCTTCCTAAGCTGGGTTGACCACAGAAGGTTATTTCCCTCAGAGAATCTCCTGGTATTTCTGCTTGTAAAACAAGCTTTGGGAACTGCTGAGGGACAGTTCTAGGGCAGTAGTTCTTGACCAGGGTGATGCGGCCACCCAGGGAACAGTGGAGAAATTTTTGGTTGTCACAACCTGGGGGTTTCAGTACGTCTGGCATCTGGTGGATGGAAGCCAGGGCAGCTTCTGGACATCCTACAGTGCACAGGGCAGCACCCACAACAAAGAACTGTCCAGTTGAAAGTGTCACTAGTCCACACAAAAACATGTACATGAATGTTCACAGCAGCATTATTCACAATGGCCAAAAAGTAGGAACAACCCCAGTGGCCAGCAACTGACGAAAGAACAAACAAAATGCAGTCTGTCCCTACAATGGAATATCATTCAGTCATAAAGAAGAATGAAGTACTTACTGATACACATCACAGGATGAATGAACCTTGAATACATTATGGTAAGGGAAAGAAGCCAGGTACGGAAACCACACACTATATGATTCCATTTATATGACATCTTTAGAATAGGCAAATCCATAGAGACAGAAAGCAGATGAGTGGTTGCCAGGGGCTAGGGGAAGAGGGTATGAGTAGTGACCGCTAATGGGTACGGCGTTTCTTTCTGGGTGATATAAATGTTCTAAAATTGATTGTGGTATCAGTTATACAACTCTATGGATATACTGAAAAGCATTGAATTGTACACTTTAAAAGGGTGAATTGTGAGATATAAGAATTATATGCCAATAAATCTGTTTTTCTGTTGTTGTTTTTTTACCTTAGTAGTGCCAAGGTTGCGAGACCCCGAACTCGTAGGTAAATAAGATGACAGAAGAAAGTGGGAGGATCAGGTTAAGGAACCATGAAGGGGAGGCTAAGTAGTTTGAATTTTATTAACACTGATGGGTGACAAGATTACTGGACTTACCCCTGTATATCCATTCACAGTTCAAGATTCTTTGAGTACCTACCGTGTGCTGGGCATTTTCATATACATCAGCCCATGTAATCCTCATGATGAATTTGTAGTTAGGTCTGCATATCATTGGGGTTCCCTGGTGGCTCAGATGGTAAAGAATCTGTCTGCAAGGCAGGAAACCCGGGTTCGAACCCTAGGTCAGGAAGATCCCCAGGAGAAGGGAATGACTACCCACTTCAGTATTCTTGCCTGGAGAATTCCAGGACAGAGGAGGCTGGCAGGCTACAGTTCATGGGGTCACAGAGCCGGACATGGCTGAGTGACTTTCACTTTCGCTTCACTTCTGCATCCCATTGTTGAGATGAATAATCTGAGGCCAGAGAGGTTCACTGACTTGATCAAGACTGCACAACTAGTAAATTGTAAAACTAGAGTCCGAATGCATTTGGATTTGCCCTTGACCCCATGGGCTTTCCACTGCTGTGTGTTGACTCTCAGCGAGCCATCTGCCTTGGCACTCTCCTGCCTCAGTGCTGGTTGCAGCCTGTGGTCCTGGCGGCACCCCAGGAGGCCCTCCCCAGAGTGCTGACGTTCATCCCTCTGCCCAGGCTGCAGCTGGCATCTGGATAGGGGTTGGTTGCTTAGCAACATGGGTACAGATTTTGCCCTGAGCCAAGGGAAGCATTTCCTCAGTCTTGGCTGCAGGAACTTCAAGGAGAACAGCCCCAGGAGGGCCTGAGGGAGTGGGGTGTAGGGAAAGCAGGGACAACTATGTCCCCCAGAAGGTTTGGAGACGGAGACCCTCCTTAAGGGGAAGACTCAGCTTCAGGGATAGTGAAAGAGAACTAGGAAACCTGCATCAATCGTGATGATGTTCTTACAACCACAGCTACATTTCGGGAGCACTACCTGTGTGCCAGGCACGCTGCTAAGTGCTTTACAGTCTATGATCCTTTCCAAACCCCATGCAATAGGTTACTATTATTATGCCTCTTGTGCAAATGAGGATCCAGGGCTCATGGAGGTTAATTGACTTGTCATGAAGCCAGAGAGTGGGGAAGCTGGGATTTGTTTTTTTTTTTTCTTCTTCTTCTTTATTTTATTTTATTTTTTCCATTTATTTTTATTAGTTGGAGGCTAATTACTTTACATCATTGCAGTGGTTTTTGTCATATATCGAAATGAATTAGCCATGGATTTATATGTATTCCCCATACCGGTCCCCCCTCCCACCTCCCTCTCCACCTGATCCCTCTGGGTCTTCCCAGTGCACCAGGCCCGAGCACTTGTCTCATGCATCCAACCTGGGCTGGTGATCTGTTTCACCCTAGATAATATACATGTTTCGATGCTGTTCTCTTGAAACATCCCACCCTCGCCTTCTCCCACAGAGTCCAAAAGTCTGTTCTATACATCTGAGTCTCTTTTTCTGTTTTGCATATAGGGTTATCGTTACCATCTTTCTAAATTCCATATATATGTGTTAGTATACTGTAATGGTCTTTATCTTTCTGGCTTACTTTGCTCTGTATAATGGGCTCCAGTTTCATCCATCTCATTAGAACTGATTCAAATGAATTCTTTTTAATGGCTGAGTAATATTCCATGGTGTATATGTACCACAGCTTCCTCATCCATTCGTCTGCTGATGGGCATCTAGGTTGCTTCCATGTCCTGGCTATTATAAACAGTGGGAAGCTGGGATTTGAAGCCAGGGTGTCTTTCAGACACCCTAGCTCAGCCACTCTTACAGCCCTGGATGCACACTTGTTGGAGAAAATCCACCATGGGACTCCCAAGGCCCTGGGGAGTCTGCCCTACTCTGTCACTCTGCTTGCTCCAGACATGCCATCCTGGCTTCATTTCCTCAAACACTCCAATCTCCTTTCAGCCACAGGGACTTTGCACATGCTATTCCTTCTGCCTAGGACGCCCTTCCACCTACTCTCTTCACTTCCTTACTTCAGCTTATCCTTTTGGTCTCCAATAGAACATCACTATATTCATTCATCCATTGATCCAAACCTAGTTAATGAGTGACTCTGAATGCTAGGTAAACATTAGTAAACAAAATGTACATGACCCCAGCCTTCTTGGAGTTTCCAAGCTAGTGGAAGAGACAGTAAATGAATAGACAAGCTACAATTGCATGGAAACATTCCCTGACTGCTCTGCCCTTTGGTAAGAAAAATGATCAGTTAATTGTATGATTATTTATTCAATGCTGATCTCCCCTTCTAGGCTGTGGATTCACAGAGCCCAAGGACTGTAAAGCTGTACTGTGAGAGTCAGCATTATTGTTAGCCCATTTTACAGATGAGGAGACTGAGGCACAGAGAGTGTGAGCAACTTGCCTAAGGTCACAGAGCTGGTAACTGATGGAGCCAGGATTTGATCCCTTGGCTCCAGGATCCATGTTTTCAGTAAGTAGGTTATGAGCAGGTTAGGAAGAAGGAAGAAAAGAAAGAAAGAGAAAGAGAATAAGAAAGAAAGGGAGGAAGAGAGAGAGAGAGAGAAAGGAAGAAAGAGAAACAGAAACGAAAAGAAAGGAAGAAAGGGAAAGAGAGGCAGGGAGGAAGGGAAAAAGAAGTTAGAAAGGTGGAAGTGAAGAAGAGAGAGAAGGAAGAAAGGGAGTAAAGGAGGGAGAAAGAAAACAAATAAAAAGAGAGTCCATCAATGATCTGGTTGTGCCTTCCAGGAACAGTCAGATCCCACAGGAAGTTGTGACCTGTTCAGAGCCAGACCCAGCCACGTGGGTCCCATCTTCTCTGCAGCTGTGTGGCAGCCCAGAGTTGCACAACAGGCTGGGAAGATCATTGCTGCCCACCCACTTGCTTTGGGAGATGGGGAGGGAGCAGGAGAAGGCAGCTTTAAAGGTCAGAGGGAAATTTTGGGATCAGCATTCCAACTTCAGCTTCCCTGCTGGTAAATGGGGTCTCAAGAATAAGATCTCACAGGTCCTGAATCCAGCCCAGGGATCTGCCCCAGTATTCCAGAGAGTACATTCTCATAAGTCTGTGTGCCAATAACCTGGGCTTTCTGGAGTCTTCTGTGTTCTCTTATCAAGGAAAGATTCTGGCCAGAGAGCACTTGAGAACAGTTTATACAAGGCTGTGGCCTCGGAACAGAGCCAATATCTTTTTATACAAAATAAGTTTGATGTTATTGATTTCATACCAGGTGCCAAGCAGTATGCCAAGAATTTTACGCAGATCCACACCTCCAATGATACATAGTGAAGACCTTGTTTCTGACATGATTTTATTCCCCTTCTTACTAGCAGTGTGACCTTGGACAAGGCCCTTCATTTTTCGGAGCTTCCATTTACATTTGACATTAGAAACATGAAGGTATTAAACTTTCCTGAGTTCTTAATATAGGAAAACATAACTATTTTGGGGCAGGAAGTGGGCAGAGCTGATTAAGACTCTACTGCTGCTCTCAAGGAGATTATAATCTCTAGGAGGAATAGCAAATGTGGTTTTTTTCTTGACAATGCTTGAATCAGCTGGTAGTGGCTGCCTGCCTGGACTGCGGGCATCCTGGATCTGCAGGGAAAGAGTTCCAGGATTGATTAGTGATGTCTGCTGCAGGATCCAATGTGAGGAACTCATTATTTGCTGTGTTTGGAGTCAGAGACGCCAAAGGTGGAGTTTGGAATGGCCTTTGAGATTCCAGAGGTGGACTACTAAGAACAAAGTGAGGGTCTGCACGAAACTCTGCTGGGGTTGGGGAAGGAGAAATGGGAGACAACCATTTGCACTTCAGAGAAACTTCTGTTGGAGATGGTAGAGGTGCCCAGAGGGGAAAGAGGTGGACTGTGACTCTGAACAAGGTGTGTGGTGTAGCTTCCCACACTGGAGGTCTTAGGAGGACTTAAAGAGGGTGCAGGCTCTGGATGAAAAGAAATCTGAATTCAAATTCTGACTCAGTCACTTATTTAATGTGTGACTTAGGACACATTGTTTATCCTCTCTGAACCTCGGTTTCCTCTTCTGTGACATGGGGGAAGATTATTGGGTGGATTGCTGAGTGCTTGTTCTTGCCATAGTGACCGCTGACAAGAATAATCCAGGGAGGTTGTGTTGTCATTGCTGCTCCTTTCTGGGCTCCGGGGTTAGCGTTCACTCCATAGCCTGTGAAAACTGTCACCCTCTGGTGTGATAATGTGAGTGACTGCCTCTCCAAGCTGTGTCACCTGGCTGCCTGGATGAAGGAACAGAGGCCCAGAGAGGGTAAGTCGTTTGTCCAGATCACACAGCTAGTTCATGGCAGAGGTGGGATTTGAATCCAGGTCTGTCTGACTCCACAACCCAAGCCTGTAACCAGTGTGACCTCCTGCCCATGACCAATTTGCCAAATCTGGAAAACAGTTCAGCATGTATGATGGTTGCTGAAGTTGTGTAACTTCCTCACATGGATTTTCCTGCAGGGATCGATAGCAAGTGAACTCATTTTCATGCCTTTGAAAATCCTGAGCACAGTGCCTGGTGCCCAGTGAAAGTAACTCTGAGCTTGAGGGCTGCTGGGAGATTGAATCCCACTCTGAAACTAAGTGTGAGAAGGGAAACCTTAGAGAGAGTGGCAGTAGAAGGTCTAGTGAGAAGGAAGCAGATGAGTCCTGGGGCCTGGGGAAACAGACCTGGGGATGAGAGCAGTGCTGAGCTCTCAAAAGGGCTACTGGTGTATCCATCTGCAGGGGCATCAATCAGTTAAGGTCTCTCAAGGGACACAGGGTAACTGATGAGCATTAGTGAAGGGCTTGTAACAGCTGTGAGCAGGAGAAAGGGAACCAGCAGTGGGTGGGACCTGCAGGAGCAGGGAGCCTGGGGCCTGAGGGAATCTGGTGAGAGCTGTAGCTTTGAGAAGGAGCCAGGCTCTAGTAAGGAGACGCAGC